GCTATTTCTCTTGTGTGCTTCAAACTAATTTCTGTGGTTTGGATCTTCGTGTTTAGGACAATAGTGTTGTATATAAAGATAAAATTATTTTAAGAGTAACAGAAAGAATTTGCAATGTTTAAAACACTGAAGTTATCTAATGCTTTTAAAACTTCATTATAAAACACATCTACTTTTTCAGTTTGAGATTTTAGTAAGAGCAGTACTTGTTCCAACTACAATAGCTCTAAGAAACTAATATTTTGCTACAAATCCAACCCCTAGAGCAAACTCAGAGAGGGGATTAAGTCACTCCCATTAAATGAGAACTTACCCACTCAGCAGTGTTATTTGTGTGCTGGCTACAGCAGTGCTGTTGCCAGACAGGCTGCACTAAGCCACTGTGCAATTAATACAATCAACTGTTACACCCACTGCTAACATACTAAGCAGTAGGATCAAGGACAAGTACTAATGATGTCCTAGTTTTCCCACATCTGGGAACATGAAAAAAGCAAGTTCATAATTCCAGGACACAGAACACAGCATTCTTTAGGGGGTCTCGTCCTGTAACGTGGAACACCTAGTAACAGATTACAAAAATAATACTACTTCTTGCTTCAGAGCATGTTTAGGCCATTACTTGTTAGTAAAAATAAAAGACAGGTTCTTATACAGTCATAACTTTTACAAGCTTTTGGTATGCCCATGCAATTTCCAAGCTAAAAGGCCTGTTACATAACTAAGCAGGACACATTCAACTCCATAGTTCCGTGTCTTTATGCCAGTGGGTTTTGCTCCCCTTCCCTGTGGGGATATACCATTTCAGTATGCATTCATTCCTCCTAGATCTCAATTTTAAGGCTGACTACATCTAAAAATTGAGCATTTATTTCAGTTCACTAAACTGTCCAACCTCTGGACTTGTTCCAAGATCTCTGCTATGCTCCTACTCTCCCTCGCCTGGGCAATTCAAAAGGGATGCTCTTTGCTTCCGGTCATGGAGAAGTGTTTGTAATAACACATGGCATACCCATGTTTAAGACACTTCCCTGTAATAGACAGTGCTTTAAAGATAGCATCGACATTATTCTAATTAAATAGCAGTCATTTTGGTCTACATACGTTGCACTTGATCAATGACAGCCTTTCAGTTACTCGGCTTCTTCTCACCAATTAGAACTAGCAAATATATCATTACAACACTGCCTATTGCCTCTGGAGAGTACTCAACCATGTCAACAAATTACTAACTTCATTTGGTATTTAAAATTTAATATTTAATTTAAACAAAGCTGCTTACATTTTCATGAAGTGCAGTTAGGGGCAACTTAGAAGTTCAACTAACAGCTAAAGCCTGACTGAAAAGATGTCAGAGTGCTGTGAAGATAAAGACTTAATCAGTAGTTCTCGTACTGAAATAACATTCAAACTAACAGTTTAGACATATACCAAGTTTTTACTCAACCTTATCCTCGAGTTGTTTATAACATCCTTCCTCTGAGGAGAGACATACTTGTTTCTGTTTTGTTGTAATTAAAAAAAAAAAATCACAACCCCTCTCCCCACAATATTGGAAATTACGGGGTTGGGGAGTGCTCTGTGGCTCCCCCAAACAAACAAACCTTTTTGTACAACCACAAGTCATACAAGCAATTGCTGTACTGCTTAAAAAAGCACTTTCACTCTGGAAGATCTGTGAACAACTTTCTCACTTTAAAAGCACTTAAACAGAATGCTTGGTACCATTTATTCTAACTGGACATTTTCTGCACTATTTTGAATTATTTGGAGTATCTAATTAGCTAAACCTCTTCTTATAAAAACTTCAATAAAAGAGATTTAAAATAAAATAACACTGTGTTTATTCTTGCTAATTCCAACTCAGTTACAGATATTATTACAAGACTGAAGCAAATATTTAAGAAAACACCCACAGAAAAAAATAAATAAAATGGATCCCTTTGCAACTGTGCTAACTAATGACACCTAATCTACTTTAAGTTCAGGATGTAAGTGATTTTTAATTAAGGTGAAAATCTTGTAACTGTTTGGGTAGATACACGTTTCAGCAGAGGCATATCCAAGTTTTTCTAGGATACTATTACTAGGAGGAACATAGAAGTCCAACTAATATCAGCACCTAGTATTTCCTACGAAAAGCAGCCTCAAGAGAATTAAGTCACAAGCCTAGTAGGAGCTAATCCAAACTGTCTTAACAACTCTTTATTTACATAACCAGTAGCTTTCCCAATTTCCACAGAATCAAAGAGATGGCATTTCCCTTTGTGTAATTATGTGCATTCACACACAAGCTTAATCCAAAAATAGTCTTCTGCAACCAGAGCAGTAGCTTTGATATTAAGTTTATTTTATGAGGATCACCGTATGATTAAGGATAATAATGGATTTTTTTAAAGTTCTTTGTGAACATGTATTTAAAAGCAGAAATAGCTTGTTATTTGCATCTTTCTCATAAAGCATGTCACGTTATAAATTAAGTATGAACCAATGTAGTAATTTTATGCATGCATTCCAAATTATTTTACAATGTTATGATTCTGGAATTCCATATATCCCATACAGTTAGCTTACTGGGAAAAAGACCACTCCCACCTCCCAATTTAAATCCTAATTACTACTAGTGTATTTTCCTTATTGGCTTTGTGTTGTACAGTTTGCAGGACTAAACTGAATATAGGTTACACTGCCTAGAGGCTATAGTAATTTGAGCAGTCTAGAAGATTATAGGTGTCTTTGCTTCTCTATTAAAACTCCTTGTATTTTAAAGGCATCTAGACTAAAATTTTTTTTTATTATATTTACTGATATCAGTACAAATTACAGTTAATTCAACTGTTGCAGAAAAAGTCTTATCTGGCTAAGATGAATAATACACACTGCATAAGCTCTAATATTATTATAGGATTGTCTTATTATATTAACCCTTGGAAAGAACTCTATTTTTACACCTGTGCAGTATAAAGCTTTATATGCAAGTGGAATTTGTGTGCAATATCAGCACTTGATTATTCCAACAAAACATATCATAAGCTCTAGCTACCAAGGATGGCCAGCACGGTCTCATGACAATTCCTCTCTGAGCTCCTGTGGTTAGTGCTGCTCTCCTCTGCACCATCCCACATGCATGAAGCATACTTCTAGGCATTCGTGGCTACTGGTTTCACGTGCTTCACTAAAAGAGAAAATGTTTCACTAATGCAGGTTTCAGATTCAAACTCCAAGGAGTTATCTCAATGGGAGAAAAATAAAATAGAATGGAAAAATCTTGCAAGTGAAAGTGGATTGGACCAAACTACTACTTCTCCTTTTTTCCATGCATAATAATTCCTCAAAGATGTCCACACACCTACATATATTTACATGCATAAATGCCAGAACTCATAAAAGCTCCATTCAGTCTCAGCAATCAAATGACCTGCGATACCATGAGTACACAGAGATTTCACAGTACATCTTTTTGGAAACTGAGGCCATTCACAATTTCAGCATTGAGTACTAGTATCAGAGCTTAAGTATAATGTCCAATTCCGAGAACCATTTGAATGTCAATACTAATTGCATTGTCATATGCATCACCAGGCACAAGGGCTTCACCTCACCCAAAACACAGAGAAGAAATTATAGTAGCGTTGGTGAAAACCAAGTTAAACAACAACAGCCGTCTTTGTATGTACGATTGTCTTTTTTTTTGTCTTCACAATGAACTAATAAGCTTATTATAGAATGAAATAACACCTTATAATTGTTTGTTTCTATATTCACTAACAGCGTCATCATCTCGTTCTTCAACTCCACCAAGAGATGCAACATCTTGCACACCCTTAAATGACACATTAAACAAAGCACTTTATGTTAGAGCTATTATGCAAAAGGAATGAGAAGCCACACTATCCCTTTGCAAAGAAAAACTCATACTCAAGTCCCAAAATTCTCCCAAGGTCAGTAATTTCACACTTAATCATGAGGGAGAGGATTTGCACAGACAAGAAAAAAATCATCTTACTTTTAAAGATTTAGAAACTAATTTCAAGATAGTCCTAGACCTGAGGCTTGTTGCCCATTATCAGGCAATCCAAGGTCATGAACACTTTCACTCACTTTCAAGAAAACTGGCTTATCAATACTAAACTTTTCTTACACAGAGATGTTGTTTCGCTCAGCATCTAATGCCTAAACTACAGTGGTACTGATGGAGTAGTGGCATTAGCTTAATTTACAATTTAACTAAGTATTTTGTTAACCATATCAATAAAGATATAAACAAAAGCATCCACACAGGGAGGAAAGTATATTAAAAATTCAGACTGAATGCTCTGAATTAGTGGCAAAGGAAAAGAGAAAGACAATGAACACATTATACTACTGTGTAAAGATGCAATGCACTCACATTTTCAACACAATCTAATTCCACCTTCTCAAATTAGGTAGAAAAACCTGAGAAAGTTCAACAAAGAACAACAGGAATAAATAAATAAAATCAAAGGGATTGAGCGCACTCTCAGCAAATTTCAAATGACACCAACCTGATGAAGTGGTGCCATTGACACACCTGAAGGATGGGATGGCATTCAGAGGGACCTAGACAGGCTCCAGAGATGGGTCCATACGAATCTCATGAGGTTTAACAAGAAGACCATGTGGCAGGTGCTGCACCTGGATTGGAGCAACCCCTGGTGTCAATACAGGCTGGGGGATGAACAGATCGAGAGCAGCCCTGCCAAGAAGGACTTGGGGGTGCTGGTGGATGAGTGGCTGGACATGAGCCAGCAATGTGCACTTGAAGCCCAGAAAGCCACAATTGTATCCTGGGCTGCATCCAGAGCAGTGTGGGCAGCAGGTCGAGGGAGGGGATTCTGCCCCTCTACTCTGCTCTGGTGAGCCCCCACCTGGAGTGCTGCATCCAGCTCTGGGGTCCTCAGCACAGGAAAGACTGGAGCAACTCCAGAGCAGAGCCACCAAGATGATTAGAGGGATGGAGCACCCTTCCTTATGAGGACAGGCTGAGGGAATTGTGCTTGTTAGCCTGGAAAGGAGAAGGCTTCAAGGTGACTAATTGTGGCCTTCCAGTACCTGAAGGGAGCCCACAAGAATGATGCAGGGAGACTGCATGCAGTGACAGGACAAAGGGGAATGGTTTCAAACTTCACCAAGAATAGGTTTAGATTAGATATTAGGAACAAATTCTTTACAGTGAGGGTGGTGAGGCAGTGGGACAGGTTGTCCAGTGAAGTTGTGAATGTCCCATCCCTTGAAGTGTTCAAGGCCAGGCTGGACGGGGTTTTGAGCAACCTCGTCTAGCAGAATGTGTCTCTGCTGTTGGAACCAACATCCAGAAGTGTTGCAACTACATGATCTTCAAGGTCCCTTCTAACCCAAACCATTTTATGATTCCATGATTCATTCCATGATTCTAATCCTTTTGCATAAAAAGCGGCTTTTTGCATAAAAAAGCATGGAAATGTGTGGGAATGTGAGAAAGGTTTATAAAATCATGAGTGGTTTGGAACAGGGCAAATTAATTGTTTGCAAACTCTTCCAACACAAGAGACAGAGCTCTCAAACAAAACTAGAAGGTAGTAGGCTCAAAACAACACAAGGAGGTGGTCCCTCGATCCATGGATGGTTAAAGTGATTAAGTTGTCTACCACTGGATTTCCAAAATATAAAAGCACATACAAACTCCAGGGGACACTGAACAAGTTGGTAGAAAAACAAAACTCTACCAGTCATTGAAAATACAGAAATATCATTTGGCTTTGGAAGATCTTGTTGCATGTTGGGACAAGGCAATGGAGAAGCTTCACAATGTTTATCCAATCCTTGTGGGATTGTTCCCTTGGCATATGGTTTGGTCACTGGAAGAGGTAGGATAATGGGACAGATGCACATTTGGGTTGACTATAGGGACAATAGTTCTTCAAGTTCCTGTAGCTTAAGACATTTCAAAAAAATTACAGACAGGAATTCCAGCTGCTAATAACAAGTTTCATAGTTAACAGGACCTGTTGGGATACCAGAAATAACTAGTATTCCAGGATAACTCATGTCCACAATCTATTATCTAAAATGAAAGCTGACCAAAAGATTGCTTAAGTAATTTGACTATTACCTGGGAAACACATTTGTACTATAGCATTCTATTTACAGGAACAACTGCTCCTCTCATTTGAGTGTTCATAATTAATATGAAAGCAATGTGGAGTCTCATATCCATATGAACTTATTAGTCAAATAAGCAACTGGAGGTAAGGGGTACTTTTGAAAGGGATAACACTGAATTCTTGAAAATCCATAATAGGAATTACACCCAGGGAAAGGTAGAGTTCAGCCTGAGTCAGCATTCTCACCAGAGCTCTGTATGTTTCAGCCAAACCTCTTCTGAGATCTCCTCCTTGGTATCCACACACATGTCTGCAGAATTCAGTAAGTCTGTCACTGAGGGACTTCTGCCCTCATAGCACTGACTGCAAAATGGAGTGGTAGTGTGGGAAAGAGGCTATATTAGGAGAGAGGAAAATTATCCCACAACAACTCCAAATATAGCAATTCTGACTGTGTAGGGAGTGTTTTTTCAATCACGCCTGACAATTCTGATTTTACAAAGGGTCTATTATCAGTCACACAAATGACTACAACTCCTTACAAGTATTCACTAAAGGAGAGAAAAATGCACCAAAGTTCAGGATACCAGGAGCCACACTAGGAAGCCAGAATTTACTGCAGGCTGAAGTACCATTTTCAGGCCACAGATTTCTATCATATGCAAGCACACATCAGAAATACTATTTCACTTTCTCTGAACAAAGAGGTGCAGTAACAGGTTCCCTTCTGAAGGAGATCCAGCTATGTTTACCCATACAAGCCACTTGCCTCAAGAGGTCACAGACTGACTTCTAGTCACAACATTTCCCTTCCCTGAAAAGGGAGAAGGCAAAGATGTGCCTGAATTTCCTCATCACCTCAGATTGTAACTGTGCTGTTAGACAACACACATGCAAAGTCCAGGCTGAGTTCTACAAATAGGTTTATGAAACCAATGTGTCAACCTATAAATGCAACTAAGGAAAGCAAAGTAAAATTGAACTCCCTCCTAAAACAAGATTTGCTCCCTCTCTTTGTAAATGTTCCTTCATGTCTCTGATTCTGGGATGACTAAAGTATGCCATTTAATTTTTATTCCACAAAATCATTGGTAATACTGTCATCTTAAACATACTAAACATTCTTTTCAAAAATGCTGTTTAGTGATACTCACTTATACAAAATTCAAACTCAATCTATTAATACAAGTATTTCTCAAATACGCACTAAGTCACACCATTACTTTAGCTTCCCCCTCAAGAAAGAAGCTGTACAACCAGATCTCCTTAGAGTTGACAGGTTAGGGTTAAAGTCCCGTAGGAAACAGATGGCTGCTAGTTTTTGATGCATCAGGGTACAGGCACCAGAACAGTGACTAGAGGACCAAGGTTTGCATCATCCTCCAGCAAAAACATGTCACCATTAGGGCACTAAACACAAGGTGGCAAGACACGCATTACGCACAAATTTCAAAGATGCAAATGTATTGGCAAGCACATACACAATTCTGACTAGATGGACCATCCTACTGATAGTAAGACAGTACCAGAGACTTTGACAATTTTTCATATTCAATGCTGTCTTTTACATCAGAACTAAATATGAAACCTACACCTGGAGTTGAGGGACCAGAGGACTTTAAAGTCATCAAAATAAATTAACTTTCTTTAAAAAGTTTTTCTTATTTCATGTGATAGCATCAACTTACAACTCATGACAGATTTAAGAATAAGGTGTCTTGCTCATCTGCCAGAGCTTACAGTCTCTCCAGACAAGTATGCAAAAGCAAATGAACTCACTCACAGTAGGTCTTCGGAAATCTAAATTTTCACCTTAGTCTCCCATCCCCACTCCTGGGCAATGCAAACACGCTCAGCAGCCAAAAGAACTGAGGGCTTGGAAGGTTTTCTTCATGTTGGCAGCAGCCCTTAAAGAGACAGGATCTCACCAAGTCCTTACTGCCAGCAGCGACCTTCACCAGGCCACTCAGCACATCTTCATTAAATACAACAGCTCCACACCAGGACTTTTAATCAAAATTGATCAATGTTGTCAACAGTTTCCAACATTACTTCTCTTGTAGAGTTATCCTGATATGTTTCTGCTCCAGATGCCACCCACAGAGAAGACAAATGGAGTGCTGACACCTCCACTGAAGTGCAACTTTTCAAACCCATAAGCTAGCAACATTTGGGCTAAGCTACAATGATGCTGCAATCAAGCAGCTGAAACTTGAGAAAATATTCTTCCAGATAACTATACTACAAAAATGAAATTCTGGCAGGTGGGGCAAGTAAGTAAAATCTAGTTATTATAGCAAGGCAACTTGAGCTCTAAGTCTTATATGATGGGTCTTACACTAAGCCAATTAGTACCATTCGACTCAAATATTTATCTAAAAATTAGGAGCTAACAATTTACACTCATCAGAAAAGGCACAGTGGAAGGATAACATTATCCACTAGACAGTTATACTTCTCCAACATGTTGCAAAAATACTTCAACTAATTATGAATTCCACAATAACACTTCAAATTTTTCAAAAGGTATGGCCAGTGCTCAGTCAGTCACTGATGATTTAGTTACTGAATTCCTTTCCAAATTAATAACTTTGGAGTAGCTCTTGGACGAGAAGGATTTCTCCAGCCTATCTGCATCGGAGAGTCAGTTCACATGCCTGCTTCTGGTTGTCTTCCTCCTACAGCACTTCATTTGTTTCTTGGCTTTAGGCAGCTCTACAGCAAAAGAACTTGCCATTTCCAACAAATGCAGCACTAGGACACGTATGGTTATCTTCCCATTCACACCTCAACCATGTTTTTTCTAGGAGTGAATGTGTGAAGGAAGAAAACACCTTCCATCCAATTGCATTTGGTAGAGAGGAACCTTGAATGTCTGCCCCTCTCTAGAGCATTAGTGACAAACTTGTGCTTTTTAGACATGCAGAACCCTTCAAAAGTTGACACAAAAGTCGCAGTTTTGACTGGGACCTGCATTAGGGTAGGGATGACAGGTAACCTCAGTGCCTTGTCACAGGAGAAAACACAACTGCAGCACCTGCTCTGCCACATGCAGCACTAAGCCCTTCATCTCATACCTACTTGAGCAGCCACCTCCTCCCTTCCTTTAGCTCTCCAAGTCCTTGAGGTCTCAGGACTATTTTGATATCAAGAAAGGTTTCTGAAGCACGATCCACTTCTTTAGAGTGATCTTGCAATTCACACTGTAAATAAACCCTCTGTCACTATAAGGTCTTTGTTACCTCATTAGACCATCTGCTGAGTTTCAGGACTTACCTGGTGACTCTCTTCAGTTGAGTCTACACTAGCTTGTTGCACAGCACAAGAGAAGAGGGTCAGTACAGCAAAACCTTGATGCAGAGACCTCAATGCCTAAACTGCATATTTGGAAGGAAGCTTTACAGGAAGTTTTATTTTTGACTGGCTGATGTCTGGTTCTGCACATTTAATATCCCTATATTATAACTAGTGTATGTCTTCCAACTTAATTTCGTCTGAAAAGAATTCTATTTGTGCACCTGAGATGCTTCACAAAGAACAAAGAACTGCAAAAGAGGACAATCAAGAATTGCGCTCCAAAAGCACACTTTGATCTGAACTAAATTGCTAATGGAAACAACCATTAAAAGGCTCTAGATAACCTATGTATCCTCTATCTAGATTTTATGTAGTTCCAGGCCCATGGAATGAAGGGTAGAGTCATCTTTTCCCCCTACTTTTTGTCCACTGAAGTAACTTTCTTGCCATTAAATCATATCACTGAGATACAAACACTCTGAACGTACTTTAAGCCACTTCAGGTGGCTACAGGTATTGCATTAGGGTTCATTTGAGCTATGGAACAATGCAGTTTGAAGCTTTAATTGTGTTATCATCCGGGTAATGTAAATTACAGTACCAAAAACAGTTTTTCAGTCACATGAACTATGGTACCAAAAGTAGTTTTTCAGTGGATGACAAAGCCAGGGACTGGAATGAAGCATGTCACTCAATGACAGGGAG